GAAAAAGAAAACTTTTGCAGCTTTCCAAAGACCTGAGCAGAAGTGATCCACTGCTCAGCTCCGTGTCACTCAAACACTGGCTGAGCTTGAGACAAGACCCTGACTTCTAAGTGCTCTACTGCGTGCAGCTGGGTGGGCTGTGCTCAGCCATCGGGTTAGATCCACTGTCATGAGGGCCAAGAGCAAACCTCTACCGTTCAGCTTCTCCAGCCCAGGTGCCAGTTACGTGAAAACGAGGACACTCACCGTTGTCCACTCCACTTCAGCTACTGTCAGCCAGAGACGACAGCGGGCATTGCTCACAGCCAAGGAAGTGACAGGAGAAACGTCAAGAAGAAACAGAAAGGTGAGAAACACCGCCATGTCACCTTCTCATGGTGACAGGCATAATGAAGAAAATAAAGACACTAACTCATCCTGTTATCCAGGCTTCTCTCTTTTTTTGTTTTTTGTTTTTTTTAAGATTTTATTTATTATATATACAATACAGTGTTCTGTTGCCATGTATGCCTGCATGCCAGAAGAGGGCACCAGATCTCATTTTTAGATGGTTGTGAGCCACCATGTGGTTGCTGGGAATTGAACTCAGGACCCCAGGAAGAGCAGTCAGTGTCCTTAACCTCTGAGCCATCTCTCCAGCCCCCAGGCTTCTCTCTCTTATGGCTTGGCAAACGCATGCTCTGGACCTGGTGTTACCTGTGTTCTCTAGACAAGGAAGACAGACCCGCCAATAGATTATAGCAAACTGGAACCCACAGAGGTCTGTCTGTCCAAAGGCTTCTGAGGAGAAAACCTGCGTAGAGGAGGCTAAGACACAGAGTAAACCAAGTCACTGAACCTCTGAGCTTCAAATGCTAATAACCTTAGGGGAGCAGCCCCGCCCACCTCTGCAGCTGGTGCAAAGGTGGAGCAAAATTGCTCTAAATCCGTAGAGACTGAAGGGATGTGGAAGTATATAGTGATTGTATTACATTACCTATAGATGTGCTAACCACATACAATGACAGCCTTGTCAGTTATCATTATAGAATGGACTCACTTGCATGGAGGCCAAAAGACTCTCTGTGACCCAGTTATTAAAAAGTAAGGGCATTGGGCTAGATAATTCTAATGTTTTCTGCTTTTTTTTTTTTAAAAAAAAAAAAAAAAAAAGACAGGATCTTAGATGTAGCCCATGCTGGCTTTAAACTTGAGTTCTTTCTGCCTCAGCTTCCCAACACTGGGATGCTGCCACACCCGGCTCTCTGCTGAGACCAGAGTAAATGCCGCCACGCCCGGCTCCCTGCTGAAACCAGGGCACACACCACCATGCTACGCTCCCTGCTGAGACCGGGGTGCACACCACCACCTCCCTGCTCCCTGCTGAGACCAGGGTGCACACCACCACCTCCCTGCTGAGACCAGGGTGCAACCACCACGCCCTGCTCCCTGCTGAGACCAGGGTGCACACCACCACCTCCCTGCTGAGACCAGGGTGCACACCACCACCTCCCTGCTGAGACCAGGGTGCACACCACCAAGCCCGGCTCCCCGAGGCAAACTAGGATTTCCTGACTTTTGAGATGAGGCACCCAGAACTAAGAGAGGCTACGTGATTTATGAAACAAACACTATTGGGGAACAAAGCTGGGATTACAAATCAGGGATCCTACATTTCAACGATGGCATGCCTTTAAAAAAAATGTAAAATTGATTTGCACAGGCTTCAATACAGATCTTGTTTTAGTCTGAGCCCCTCAATGCCAGCTTCACCACCTACTCGAGATGGCCATTAGGCGCCTACATTTGTGAAACTCATCAGTAAGTTGCTATTTCAATCGATGTTTCTTTAATTTGAAAAATGTTGCTCCTTTTGACTTGAATTCCATTCCTGTTCCAATTTTCTTTTCACGAAAGTGAGAAAACAGCGCCACCTACTGGGCCCCTACGGATATTGCTTCTGCAATTTTCAGTATGAGGGGAAAATAATCTCATAGTCTCAATTTTTTGCAATTTGTCAAGGTCAGATAATACCTGGGTAAAACTCAATGCCAAAAGTTACACTTAGTGGGTGGAGAGAGTACCACCCTCCCAAGATTTTAACTCCCAATACTATCTATGGTAGACCTAAGCGAAGCTGTTGCCTGCATTCATTGACACAGCCTGCTTGGCATGGCAGAACACCATGCTGATCAGAAGAGGTGGGAACGCCCATCAGGGGGGCTAAGAGCCTGGTGAGAGCCGGGTCCCATGCCAGCCGTGCCATAGACACGGTCATGTGTAATCCCAGTCAGCTGAGGATTGAAGTACAGACAGTTTCCTATGTTTACACATGTGAAAGCAAACCCAGTTTTCCCTCAGGAAGCAGCAGTCATCGTGGTGAAATCCACAGAAGTACGGCTCTGAAGCCGGTGTTCTTAATGCCACCCATCGGTAGTCGGCAGTTTCCCGATAGAACAGCTGCCAAAAGGAAACCCAGGCCGGGGAGCAGACCTGCACACACTACAGGGAAACCCTGCGTGGGCATCTCAAAGGCTGCACCAGGAGAGCAGACCTGCACACACTACAGGGAAACCCTGCGTGGGCATCTCAAAGGCTGCACCAGGAGAGCAGACCTGCACACACTACAGGGAAACCCTGCACGAGCATCTCAAAGGCTGCACCAGGGGAGCAGACCTGCACACACTACAGGGAAACCCTGCGTGGGCATCTCAAAGGCTGCACCAGGAGAGCAGACCTGCACACACTACAGGGAAACCCTGCACGAGCATCTCAAAGGCTGCACCAGGGGAGCAGACCTGCACACACTACAGGGAAACCCTGCGTGGGCATCTCAAAGGCTGCACCAGGAGAGCAGACCTGCACACACTACAGGGAAACCCTGCACGAGCATCTCAAAGGCTGCACCAGGAGAGCAGACCTGCACACACTACAGGGAAACCCTGCGTGGGCATCTCAAAGGCTGCACACACATTGGCCAAGAGCCTTTTCTATTTCCCACTATCCCCAAAGCCATGCAGCAGCCTCTCTCCCACCACTCAACACTCAAGGAACCACAGTGTTCTCAGAGACGCCAGACTTTAAAGGTCTTCAATGATTTGCCAGCCTCATCTGCAGGACCCAAGCAGCCCAGCATGGAGAACAATATTTTAATCAACGCGGTGCAGACCGGGGTCTGAAATACATACTGTCTTGCCTCTTTAACTCAAAATATGAATGTCTGCTCATCTTTGCTTTACATTTTTTAATCTCACAACACTCAGTTTTAATGTTTGAGTGGTGAACAGAGAGATGGAGGGGAGAATCACTTTTACGATAAAGATTTTAATTATCATTTACTCAAAGATCTCTTTGTGTTGCTTTAAAGAGTCGCGTGCCACATGCTTGCCAAACACATGAAATTTTACCACACAACACTATCAGGAACAGAGTGGTACTCAAAAATGCCAGCAGAAGATTAAGCAAGGGATGGAACACTGGGTCACAGCTCATGGTTTGTGGTTTTCAAAGACGTTCCCTGAGGGAGCTGCCACGCTCTGGGAGGGAAAGTGGATGTCACTGCGCAGACAGCAGAGGCTGCACTGGGGTCCCAGAAACTCTGGTCCTGAAGGCTCAGCCGTTCACAAAGCCCTGTCACCTTAGCAGGTCAAGTGTTTCAAATGCAAACACAGCCACTCTGCTGTGGACTCTCTATTGCCCCCATATTACCACCACCAAGCCAACAAAGCCTTAACTTTTCTTTCCAGTCCTCCTTATCCCCTTTGCTAATGCAAAACTTCTAGTATTTATTTGAACGTGCACACGTGGGTTTCAAGTCCGCCTTTTTTACTTATTTGTTTTGAGACTGTATCTCACGTTGCTCAGGCTGTCCTCAAACTCCCTATTTAGCTTGGAACTCCTTTTGGATCTTCTTGCCTCTGCTTCCCACCATGCCTGACTGGAATTCAGATTCTTCTACCAAATCACACAGCTTTTTACTATGTCTAGCCTCCCGTCAAACAAACTGCTGGCCTCGGAGACTCTCAACCTGTCCCCTTACATCTCACCACCACGACATTTCGCCCCCTCTGGGGAAGCGGCAGTTGTTGGAATTTTTTATTCAATCCACTGAGAACTGATTCTTTCAAAGAATGTTACAATGATGTCTAAATTGTTTGAAAGCTTTTTAGGTTTCCCCTCTGCACACCCACAAACTGACGGCAGACTGTTCTTAGTGCAAAGACTACATCAGAGGTAACAACAGTCTGGTTTGACTTGGGTGAGGGGAGGGGGGGGGGCTGTTATTTGTTTTGTTTTTTTGAAAAACCCTGTTTAGCTTGGGCTGTCCTAGATCTGACTCTGCAAACCAGGCTGGCCTTTGGCTCCACCTACCTTGCCCCCTCCTCCCCTCGCACTAGGACTACAGGCGTGTATCACCACTGCCCAGCTCTGGTTTGACTGCTATTAAACCTTACTGTGGTGGTTAACCTGCACTGCCAACTTGATTGGACTTAGAACCTGCCTCCGCCTCTCGAGTGCCGGGATTAAAGGTGTGTCATCATGACCCGTGTAACACGGTTTCTTAGGCTTACTGAGAACGATGAAGCACATAACTGGAGCACTTTAAGAAAACGCAGGAGTGGGGCTTGAGCCCAGGGCTCCCAGCATGGTAGGTAAACCCCACACTGCTGAGCAACACCCCCAGCCAACTAGGCTTCCCCAGGAGGCCTTGAACTGACTCTGAACCAGGGCAGGACCCAACCCTGTGACCCTCCTCCTGCTGCAGCCTCTGCCACCTTGTCCAGCTCACCACTCTTTCTTAATCCCCAAGGAATTAAGTAGAAGAAAAGAAAACAGCTAGCTTAGGTTTCCTTCAAGAGAACATAATCGGGATTTAGGGATGATTACTGGGAGGGTTGCGGATCAGACTAAGCAAGTTCTCGGTCGGTGACACTTGAAACAGACCTCCCCAGGAGATCATCTTCCCAGGGGCAAGGCACCTACACGAAGCAAAGCTCAGGCCATTTGGAGAATCCTCTTACCTTATGTTCAAATGGGGCACCATAGTAGCCGTCGTTCAGCCCAAAAATGATTTCGTTTTGGTTGCGAGCGTGAATCTAAGGAAGGAGGGAAACATACTAATTAGTTCTTATTGCAGAGGTCAGGGCAGGACAGCTGTAACTTTACCTGTTCCCATGCTGAAAAACAGACTGGCTAGACCTAAACAAAGGAGAGCAAAGAAACCAGCGCTTGAGCAGAGGTCAGGTGAGCTAAGAGTGGAGCAGAGGCCAGGTGAGAGACAGCAGGGTAAGGAACAGGTGAGAGACAGCCGGGCAGGGGAGAGGTGAGAGACAGCGGGGCAGGGGAGAGGTGAGAGACAGCGGGGCAGGGGAGAGGTGAGAGACAGCGGGGCAGGGGACAGGTGAGAGACAGCGGGGCAGGGGACAGGTGAGAGACAGGTTTTTGTAACTCAGATGTAACAATGTTAGTAACTTAAGTAGACACAATACCACAAGCCTCGTTTTGTTGCTGGCCTGGTTCTGTTACCAGGCTCTGGCTAGGCCACAGCTCCCTGTATAGACCAGGCAGAACTCCAATTTGTGGCCTTCCTCCTGCCTGCTCCTCCTGAGTGCTGGGATTAGACACATGTCACCTTGCCTGGCAAGTAACCTCTTTTTTCATTGCACAAATTTAATTACTTTTCTATTAATATCCATTATAACTGAAAATGTAGAGAGAAGAGAGTCAATAGAAAAGTTATTGACGAGTTAATTTGTAGAGGACAACCCTTGAAAGCTCATTCTGAAACTTACCTGTTGACCCAAGTACTTCAGCCCATCCAGGTAGACTTTCCACTCTATCAGCAGCTGGTAGGCATCGTCCTTCCCACCCCAAATCTTCACCACAAAGTAAGACACAGACGTATCCAGGCGGTCCGGCATTATCCCAAAGTCAAGACTCCTCCACGTTGGATTCTGCAGATGGAAGTTAAGACACTGTAGATGGGAGTTAAGACTCCAGCTTCTTTACAAGGGTTTTGATTAGGTGCCGTATCATTTTGTTTTTTAAAATCCATAAGGGCTGGAGCAGTGACTCGGTGGTTGAGAGCAATGCTGCTCTTCCAGACCCAAGTCCGACACAGCACCTCCGAGCCAACACACAACAGCCTGCAACTCTAATTCCCGGGCATCTGGCGCCCCCTTCTGGCCTCTGCCAGCACCAGGCACACAAGTGCCTTGCAGACAAAACACCCATAATATACTCAAAAAACTAAAAGCTGGCGGGATGACTCAGTTGGTAAGAGCATTTGCCCCAAGCCCCCAGAGCCCACATGAAGAAGGACAAGAGTCAGCTCCTGCAAGCTGTCCTTTGGCTTCCGCATGCGCCTGGCATGTTCAGACCCCTGCTCGCTGGCATATACAAAATAAAAGCTTGTTTTAAAGACAAAAGGTATTGCAGACAGATAACCCTGCAACTAAGTACAGAGACAATGGCACCTCCGGATTTATCGGCTTTTCGCTCCCACTGACATGGTTTCCCGTGATGCCGTCTCTCATTTATTCAACACAACGCATGACACCAACACACGGGTACAGAGACACACAACTGGTCAACATGCAAGGAATAAGAGTATGCGGGGCTCTCAGCTGGGACAACGGTAGGACATCTCCTACCTCCAAGGCTCAGGAATTGTCAAGGAAGAAGGAGGGGGTGCGGATTGTAAGAGCCAAAGGTAGTGGACATCAGTACTGCCCGACATGTCAGGCCCGCTGCACAGGTGAACTCGCAGCGCTGGGACTGCATGCACAAGACTGCATGAGATCAAGCTGGCCAAAATGCCAGCACAGGTGGGGGGAGCAGGAAGACGCCAAGTTCCTCCCCCAGCTGAGGACTTAAGCCACTGGCACCTGATGGCGGCTGGTGGACTAGTTCACGGACAGGGAAGGAACTGGAGGAGAGGTAAAGAGGTGGGCGGGGTGGTCAAACCACGGTACGTGCACGCGTGAAACTCACAAACCATGGAAAGGGGGCAGCACAGAAACAACGCCCACAGGACTCCAATTTAAATCTCCACTTAGAACAGCTGTTCCACTGGAGATACAGTCCAACAGCACAGCGACTGCCTGGCAACGGCCCTGACACATACACTGGAACTGTGGCAAGTCCAGTGACAGAACTGTGCTAAAGGTTACACAGCTGCACGGAAGAGACAACCAACTCTAAGAGGCAGGGGAGACATTCACACTTGTGGGAGCTTTGAATGCACAAACAGAATTTCAGCAGATTAAAGTCGAGAACTCCAGGTGACGAGAACGTGATACACGAGGGCTCAAAGGTGTGAGGCAGCAGGTGTGGGCAGGGAACCACGAGCGACTGCCCAGGAGTGGCAGGCCCCGGCTGGAGAGACTCGGGGGCACAGGGAAGGCCTGCAGGCCTGTGCTGCTGGTGAGGTGCCCAGGCTTCTCCTCACCGAGAGGCACTCACTACCACCCTGCTTAAGCTTCATCAAGTCCTGCCAGGTGACAGTGTTTCGGGTTTTGTAACTGAAGACTCTGAGGCGGTGGACTGTGGGATTTCGCATTGCAGCCTAGTTATGCACTTCCTACTGCACGAGGCTTCGCTCTTTTCACTGACTGGGAGCTAAATGGCCACCCCTGCCAGTCCACCACCTGTGGTCTGCTGACCGCTGACCGATGCTAACTGCAGCCCACACTTCTGGTATCACCTCTGCAGAGCTCAGTGGTCGGCCAGTGATTGCTCGGACTTGTGTTCAAACACCTCAAGCCAGTCAGCCCTGCCAACGGAATGGTGATTACAAACAAGAGACCACTGAGTGACGGGAGGGACAGCAGATATTAGACTAAAGTAACCTTACAGACAAGCCAGGGAGGAGCTGGTCCTCGCCAGTAGCCTCAGTTCATCTAGAGCTTGAGAACTGTGCAGGAGAGTTCTGGGATAACTCTAGTTCTGGAGCCTGAGACTATGCTCACGCTTCCCTCTGCTCCCCCGTCCTCCCCTCTGCTCCCCCGTCCTCCCCTCTGCTCCCCCGTCCTCCCCTCTGCTCCCCCGTCCTCCCCTCTGCTGCCCTCAGTCATCACCCTGACAACCGCTATCAGCTGTGGTCCATGTACTCTGACCATTGCACCTGGTTTAATCTACACAGATCACAGCACAAAGGAGGAAGAGCCGTGTGACAAACTAGGGTGTCTCCTAGTTTATGTATTCTAGAAATATCAGAACTAAAAAGGACCTCTGAACCCGACAAACTCAGGTTTTGAAACGAGGAAGCTGAGGCCTCTGGGCAGAGCCCTGCTTGGTTAACATTTCTCTGACCGCTAGACCTCGGGTCAAGCCCTTCTCCTGCAGGGGTGCCCCCAGTGCTTGCCTCCTGACTGCCAGCCCTACACAGACCCTCTGGAAAGCTGGGGAGTTTCCCTCTTAGTGGCCTGGAGACACAGCCAGGATTCAAAGATTTGCTGAATAAACTAAACAATACATTACATTCCAGGTACTATGCTAAAGAAGTCCTCATCAGTTTGAGGCCCCCACAAAAACCAATCTACTACAGAGGAAAGCATGGGTTAGGGTTCCTTTGGAAATGGCGGCTCATTTTCTTATCCGATGTACATCGTGTTCTCAAAACGGGGAATAAGAACGACCCTGCTCACTCTCGCTTCTGGTAAAACTATCACTGGGAAGGGGCACGGTGAGCGGTGGTACCCTAATGTCCATGTTCATGCTTCCTTGGGAACCTGGGGGCCAGCACACAGCATCAGGCCTCCTCAAAGGCTGCGGTTTCTCCCAGAGGTCTCATGTCTCCTGCTATCCTACTGCCAAGTCCCTACTAGCGACGTGAGCACACATTTCGACTCCTCTAGCTCCAGAACCCTGGGTAAAGAAGGAGGAGAAGCTGATGCCTGTCAGCAGTGGTCACAGCTGGAGGCCGGCCTCCATCCGAATCCTCCTGGTGTCTGCTGGGGAGTTCACAGTCACACCACTTCTGAGACGTAAGGCACCTGCCTTGTCAGTCTAACCCCTCCTATTAGCCCTAAAAAATGTGTGCCTGGTACCACTGTTACCACCTAGGGAGTTGCTAACTGTGTCTGTGTGGTATATAAACCGGGATGGGAAGAACAGCAAGGAACATCAAAAGGGGAACATCAAGGGAGTATAGAAGAATACGTGGACCATGATTAAAAAAAAAAAAAGACTTACGTGAGTTAATTTATTTACCCTCAGATATCGTTAGCCAGTTTTCGCCTGCTATAGCGATTCTTCTGAATCCTGAGAGGCTTAAGGGGGTTAACACCCCAACATAAGCCTTGGTAAAACACCAGAGAAACGCATTCTTCTGTTCAACAGAGACGATCTTTAGCATGTACCTACAGTCTCACAAATATGCGGAACAAAGCAGAGCAGGCCACGTGTGGGCTGAGCCACGTAGGGGCTGAGCTAGGCAGAGGTGCTCTTCTATAGGAAGCCAGGAAAGGGGAGCTGTCCTCTTTGGGGTGTGTTAGTGACCGGAAGAAGACACAGGAGGAAACAACCGTACTCCTCTTCTTTTTGGTTTGTGTGGGGGGGGGGCAGGTGTTTCTGTGTACCCTTGACTGTCCATTGTAGACCAGGCTGACCTCTGCCTCCCGAGCGCTGGTATTAGATGAGGTGTGCACCACCAGGCTCTCTTCTTTGTTTGTCTGCATGTTTGTTTGTTTGTAAGACAGTCTCACTACGCTCACAGTCACCTTGAACTCAGAGACTTACTGGCATCTGCCACCCAAGTGCCGGAATTAAAATTGGTGTACCACCACACCTGGCATAAAACTAATGAAAAAAATTTTTTTTTGTTTTATTTATAAGATTTTTAAATGGGAAAAAAAAATCAACATCTTCTTTGCCTACTGTGATGTCAGTCCAAAGCCTGAAGGGCAGGAGCTGGCTTACATTGCCTGAAAAGGCAACCACATAACTCCCTACGAGATCACATCACAATAAACAAATACATCATTCCAAATTCTCACTACCCGAACGACAAGGTGCTAGAAAAAGCATGAAGTAACCACCTTCCCCCAAAGTGAAAAGGGAGACTGAGCAGAGGCACCTGAGGGGCCAGGCTGCATGGTGGGGAGGGTTTGATACGGAGCATCCTCAACCGCAGCATCTAAACAAAGACTGTCAATCTTCTGTACGAGGAATCCCCACGCTGGTACATGCAGACACAGACAGATACAGCCTGCCACCCATTCATGCTACTGCTCAATATTTTCATTGCCTAGATCCAGACGATCTTTAAATGTTTATGTAACATACATACCAGCCTGATGGCCAGGTAAAGCAGACTGTTCAAGTAGTAACATCAGCTGACTTAATCGATCTCCACTAAATATCAGGATTTATATAGTCTTAAGAGTTCACTACTTTTTATCAAAGTTTAAAAATCAAAAGTCATTTTCAGCTATGCGTGGTGGTGCATGCTTTTAATCCCAGCACTCCTGAGACAGAGGCAGGTGGATCTCTCTTAGTTTGAGGCCAGCCTGGTCTACAGAATGAGTTCCAAGACAGCGAGGCCCACACAGAGAAATCCTGTCTCAAAACAAACAAACAAACACAAACAAAAAACCCAATTAACAAAAAAAAATCATTATGTATTACCAGCATGCATTTCTCTATCATTGTTTGATATCAAGATACACAGCCACAAGAAACTCAACTAAAAATGCATAAAAGCTGTACCAATTTCTTTAAAATCACGCACAAGATGTCTCACTAGAACTTATACTGACATACGACGAGCAACCTTCCTCCCTCTGCACTGAGCTGGACCACACCGCAGCCTTGCTCTCTGCACTGAGCTGGACCACACCACAGCCTTGCTCTCTGCACTGAGCTGGACCACACCGCAGCCTTGCTCTCTGCACTGAGATGGACCACACCGCAGCCTTGCTCTCTGCACTGAGATGGACCACACCGCAGCCTT